AGAACAAAGAGACCCTAAACAACTAGGAACGTTTACTAGATATAGTATGTCTTTTGTTCTAGCATACTAATAATTTTGGTTAGTTTAAGTACTTGTGTACCTCGAAGTAGCTCTCTCTCTCTCTCTCTCTCTCTCTCTCTCTCTCTCTTTCTCTTTTATTTTCTCCTTTTTATGTGTGCACGTGTGTTTTTTTTCTCTTTGGGGGCGAGGGGAGGAGTTGGGGTGGGTTGTTGCAAGTGCTTAGGGAAAGTTTATCAAATTAAAAGCGCAACACACTTTTAGCAAATGGTGTTGGAGATTAGCTAATGTTTTTGCCATCAGAACAAGTATGTCCATTTTTGTCAATGTTTTTGTCTTCTTTTTTTTTCCACGTAAATGTTACTTGTTCAACTAAACAAACGATATCTATAGGGATCTGTAGATTTTTCTCATATCTATTGTTTCTTTTGCCAATATATATGCCCCTGCAGGAGCAAATTGTACACTAGCTTTGATAGGGATCTGACATCCCCAACCTAGCACAAACCTAAGAAAAAAAAAGAGGAAAATCCAGGATTGAATACATACCTTCCCTTTTTCGGATGGTCAGATCTAGGTGTTCAAGAACTCAATGCCGTTTTCTTTCTTTTCTTTTTTCTTTTTGAAATTACTCATATGCTGGTTCTAAGGGCGACTCTTAAATTTTCATGTCAAACTAATCCTTGAAAGGGGGTATTTTCTTAGAGAGTTTGCTCCCACTAGAGCATGCTATGCACACCCTATATTTTTTTTTTATCAAGATAAAAATGTAAAAAAATGAAAGTACTAATATAATTACATTTTAACTGTACATGGAAGATGCTTTTAAAAGATTCCATCTCACATTGAAATATGTTTATTTAATTTTTCCTATTTTCCTAGACTTGTCCGCTTATTTTCTGGTTTTCTGAAGAACACAGAAGAGACTCCGTGAGTAATTTTCCTCATGCAACTAGCAAGTCATGGGGTGAGTAAGAATTTTAAAACATTGCTTCAATTTGAGCAAGGTTATACTAGCTGTGTTCTAACAAGTGAAGCAACATAGACGTTGCTAGCCTTTTATCCTACCCCATCCCACGTGTCGCCCCAAGAAGACCCCACTCTCGATACCTCTTCTAAAGAGGGAGACACATGGCCTAGCCTCACCCCCAATCACTCCAAACCCCAGCCTCCCTTGAATGTTAGCCTTTTATCCTCTCCCTCGGCTTACCCCCTTGATTTCACCATTCCGCCACCCCTTTCTACCCACCGTAGCTCTCCCTCCCCCCTAGCAAGCTTCTCTCCTCTAGCTCCACTAACCCCTTCCCCTTCTCCCAACACCTCTGACCTTTCCCTGTCGTCGGCCCTAAAACCGTCTCTTCTACCTTGCTCCTCCCTGTTGGCTTTCTCTCGTCCCTCATCTCCCCCCCCCCCCCAGTTCTCCTTGACTTTCCTCCCCCTTAACTTTGAAGAAATCCTTCAGCCACCCCAAAAGCACAAACTTTCGATCGGCCATATTCTCAACCGGAAAATGGACAAAGACCTCATTCCCCTAGGCATAGTCGCTCCTCATTCCATGGACCACTCCCCCCCTGACCCTGCTTCTATTTCCCATTTACTGGCCCCTCGCCTTTCTTACACCCCACACCTTGTCCACATCCGCAGAGTTCGTATTCTCCATGTTGCTTGGCCCCCTTCCTCTCCCTTGACGTTCTCCAGTTTCTCCTCGATCCAGACCCACCATTTCCTCACCTATCTCCCCTCCTTCTCTCACGAAAACACTCTCCATGCCATTCCCTTCTCTTATGAAACCCCTTCACCCCACCCCTTGCCTCGACCACATATTTGGATTATATTTTGCCCTCTCTCTCTCCCCTTGCACCTCCCGTCCTCCCTAACTCCAACCCTACCTAGGTACCTGCCTCACAATCTTTTGAGCCCCTCCCCGTTTTACCCCATGATCTCTACCCCTCTAACCCTCCCACACTCTTGACAGAATCTGAAATTGAGCCCCCCCAGATACCATTGATTCCCATCTCTCCCCCTCTGGCTTTTAATGAGGCAGAGGTGGTTGACGGGGATGGGACAAATAGGGACAAAGATAGGATGAGAGAGATGTACAGATTAATGGGGTTCGAGTATGACAGACCCGAAGGACTGGCCCACAGATTCCTAATAGCTGATGCGTAGAGCGAAATGCAGGTGAGATTCAAAGGCCAGAGAGAGCTTTGCATCCTTTTTCCTCCATCTCCTTTGAGGGACAGCCAGCAAATAGCTTCCCCCCCTCCTTCCACCACAAACTGTCCGAGGAGGTCTCCCAGATTGGCCTCCTCTTCCTCGCGCATCCTTAGAAAATGAAGTTACTTACTTGGGATGTAAGAGGGCTAGGACAGTTTTCTAAGAAGGAAGTTGTCAAAGACCTTACCTCAAAACTTTAAGTTGTTAAAGACCTTACCTCAAAACTTTCTCCTACAGTTCTGACCCTCATTGAAACCAAACAACCTGAGTTGAATCTCCAACTCATTCGCCAGGTATGGGGAAGAAGACCTTGTTAGTGGGTCTCCCTACAAGTGAATGGGGCTTCAAGAGGCATCTGGGTGGTCTAGAACCCCTCAGACCACACCCTAAACTCCTCCCATATAGGGGAGTTTTCTGTCACTGTTCTCTTTTCTAGCATCTCAGACGGGGTCCCCTGGAAATTCACGACTGTCTACGGTCCAAATTCACCTACACTCAGAAACAGACTTTGGTCTGAGTTGGAACAGGTAGCGTCCCTACCACACCCTATTTGGTGCTTGGAAGGTGACTTTAACTTCATCCGATGGTTCTATGAGAGAAACTCCTCAACATCCATCTCTCAGGAAATGAGGGATTTCTCAGATTTCATTAGCCGAAATGAACTCTTGGACATTCCCCTTCAAGGCTGTCGGTATACGTGGTCCAACCATGTTACCAACCCCACACTTTCAAAATTAGATAGATTCTTCCTTTCTCTGAACTGGGAGGAACACTTTTTGAGATCCCTGGCTATGGCCTTACCCAAACCACCTCGGACCACTGTCCCATACTCCTAAACACACTGGCTATGCTGTAAAGAGGGGCCCAAGACCCTTCAGATTTGAACTTCTTTGGCTTCACGAGGAGTCCTTTCACTCTCTCATCCAAACTTGGTGGAATTCTTATTCTTCGCTGGTCACGGGTAGAGCTGGATACATACTTCAAACCAAAATCCAACTCCTCAAAGCCTCTCTCAAGACTTGGAGTCGTTCCATCCCTGGCAACTTCTCACAAATAAACTCCTCCCGTCCAGATACCATACAACAACTTGACCGTCTCGAGGAATCTAGACCTCTGGAGGCCACAGAACATGATCTCAGATCCAAGACAAAACTGGAATACCTTTCCACTCTCAAAAAAGAAGAGGTCTACTGGTTCCAGAGATCAACAATTAACTGGTTGAAAGCGGGTGACCATAACATCGCCTTTTTTCATCGGATAACTAATTGTTGTAGAAGAGACTATACTATCTCAATGATCAAATACAACAACCGCTACTTAACTCAACCAGAAGAAATTGAGCAGGTAATCATAGAGTTCTTTCAGACTCTATACACAGCTCCATCTGGCCCCAGACCGAGAATGTCATCCCTTGGCTTCTTAACCCTCACCGATGATCGAGCTGTTTGGCAAGAGCGACCCTTCACAGAAGAAGAAATTATACAAGCTATCGATGCTCTAGCCAAAGACAAAGCCTCTAGTCCTGACGGCTTCCCAATTGCACCTTTTAAGGCTTTCTAGGATACTTTCTGTCTTGACTTCATCAATTTCTTCGAGGAATTTTTCCTTCAGGGAACTCTCCACGAAGCTATTAATGCCACTTTTCTAGCCCTACTTCCCAAAGTCGAAGGGGCCGAGGAAATCAAGGATTT